ACAATGACAATGACAATGACAATGACAATGACAATGACAATGACAATGACAATGACAATGACAATGACAATGACAATGACATGACAATGACAATGACAATGACAATGACAATGACAATGACAATGACAATGACAATGACAATGACAATGACAATGACAATGACAATGACAATGACAATGACAATGACAATGACAATGACAATGACAATGACAATGACAATGACAATGACAATGACAATGACAATGACAATGACAATGACAATGACAATGACAATGACAATGACAATGACAATGACAATGACATGACAATGACAATGACAATGACAATGACAATGACAATGACAATGACAATGACAATGACAATGACAATGACAATGACAATGACAATGACAATGACAATGACAATGACAATGACAATGACAATGACAATGACAATGACAATGACAATGACAATGACAATGACAATGACAATGACAATGACAATGACAATGACAATGACAATGACAATGACAATGACAATGACAATGACAATGACAATGACAATGACAATGACAATGACAATGACAATGACAATGACAATGACAATGACAATGACAATGACAATGACAATGACAATGACAATGACAATGACAATGACAATGACAATGACAATGACAATGACAATGACAATGACAATGACAATGACAATGACAATGACAATGACAATGACAATGACAATGACAATGACAATGACAATGACAATGACAATGACAATGACAATGACAATGACAATGACAATGACAATGACAATGACAATGACAATGACAATGACAATGACAATGACAATGACAATGACAATGACAAGTATAAAAGCAAAACTTCTTTATAGCCCGCACGGCCCGATCTACAGATTTGCTCACGAGCTCAGCGCTAGGGCTGAAAACACGTTTCTAAAAGGACGCTTCTAATTAGATTGTTCTCGGTATACCCGCCCCTAGGCCCATTTAGACAGAAATTTAAACGAAACTCTTAAAGCGAAGTTAGTCAATAAAATGTGTATAAAATACTTAAATAAACATTTATCAATGGGAAAACTAATTAGTTTCTTTCTTATTTAAAGATATTTCATCTTCGGCATCTTCTTTTTTTGCAATTTGATTGTCACGTGGCCATCTCGAAGCGCTTCCTTCTGTTCGCTTACACAAATATTTGTGTTTCTTTTTTATTTCTATTTATATATTTTGCTTTCTTTATTTTTTTGCTGTTTGCATAACCAAGTTGAGCTGCTTGAGCGTCGAAGTGTTGGACGCTTCCATTCATTACGTAATGTGGCGCGGGTTTTATGTCTTGGCCAGAAACGGGACACAGCCAGAGAGTAGGGCGGAGACCGCAGAATGACAACCGGCGCACAACTGGCCCAGGCAGCCATGGCATTTAAGTCACGTAGCCATGTTGAGTAATGCGACACGTTGCCATTGATGGCCCGTTGACGATGAAGTGGAAGTTGGAAATAGAAATAGAAATGAAAACGAGTCCGTACGCTCATGTCTGTGGGACTGTATGTGTGTGTTGCCATTGTGACAAGGACGCTAAAGTCAAGTGGCAGCCACGTGATGGCTGCTGCGGGCGCCACTTTCGACATTGGCTGTCGGCCTGCCCCACCAGTCGCACCCCATCCAGCCAGCCCCACTTGGCCCACACAGATGGCTGTTGGTGCGGTTCGCAAACATTTGTTTACTTTTGATTTTGCGCATTGATTAGCGCCGTCAGCTGCCACTTGCCACAAAGTTTGCATATTTATTATGCACTCGTTGCTCAAACATCATCATTACCAACTAAAAACTTGGCTAAGAGCAAAAACCAGCTGAAAAATGAACCAAACCAACGCTAGTGCCAGGTGTCGATGTCACTGTAGCTACCTATTGTTGCTGCTGTCGATTGTGAATGCGGCTGTGGCTGCTGCTGCTGCTGCTGCTGCTGTTGATGTCAGGAACAAAACCCATTTTCGGCTGCTGCTTTGTCGTTGGCAGTTGCTGCTGCTGCTGATGCTGCTGCTGCAGTAACCAAGTTTTGCATCAATAAACACACATTTTTATTGCAGTCGATGGAAGGGCAGAAAAAGGAGTATGCAGAACAATGCAGCGAGGCACAGCGGTGCCTGCCACAGTCAAGTGGATGCTCTAATCAACAGGCTTGCAGGCAGACAGGTAACCGGGCTAAGCGCAGCCCCACAAAGATTGGGCCGACGTTCACAGATGCGTAAACGAAAACTTGCATAGTTCTGAGCTTAGTTGAAGGCAAGTGCTAAGTTCGTTAGCTATTTGATGAGCTTTGCCAAGACACTAGCCCAACTTGGCGATGCCATTACAAAATAATATATGATCCGGCATACGCTTCTGATATTCATATGTCCATAACTTTGCAGCATTAGTGAATGAACTTGTCGGCAACACCTTGTTCCAGTGCTGCAGTCAGCTCTGCTTATCTGCTTACTGCCAGCCCAACAGACGGTTTCAGCTTAGAATCAGCCGGGTGTGTAATTACTTACCTCATCGAATCATTATGGAGGACATTCGTAATTAATATGCTAATGTGCATTAGATATTTATGCTTCAATTCCCATTTCAAAATGCATTCTATTATATGTAATTATATAGCAAATATGAATATTAGCCCAGCAAATGCAAGTTCAATTTCTTGATTCATTCACTCTCGAGAAGGAGCTGCAGTTAAATATGTTAGTTTATTTACAAATTTACCAATTTACCAATATGTCATATTCATATTCATACACATATTCATATTCATATTCATATTCATATTCATATTCATATTCATATTCATATTCATATTCATATTCATATTCATATTCATATTCACATTCATATTCATACACATATTCATATTCATATTCATATTCATATTCATATTCATATTCATATTCATATTCATATTCATATTCATATTCATATTCATATTCATATTCATATTCATATTCATATTCATATTCATATTCATATTCATATTCATATTCATATTCATATTCATATTCATATTCACATTCATATTCATATTCATATTCATATTCATATTCATATTCATATTCATATTCATATTCATATTCATATTCATATTCATATTCATATTCATATTCATATTCATATTCATATTCATATTCATATTCATATTCATATTCATATTCATATTCATATTCATATTCATATTCATATTCATATTCATATTCATATTCATATTCATATTCATATTCATATTCATATTCATATTCATATTCATATTCATATTCATATTCATATTCATATTCATATTCACATTCATATTCATACACATATTCATATTCATATTCATACACATATTCATATTCATATTCATATTCATATTCATATTCATATTCATATTCATATTCATATTCATATTCATATTCATATTCATATTCATATTCATATTCATGTTCATATTCATATTCATATTCATATTCATATTCATATTCATATTCATATTCATATTCATAATCATATTCATATTCATATTCATATTCATATTCATATTCATATTCGTATTCATATTCATATTCATATTCATATTCATATTCACATAAATATTCATACTCATTTTCATATACATATACTTATACCGATACTCATAATAACATTCTAATTCATATTTATATTCATATTCATATTCGAATACATATTCATTTTCATACTCCCACTCAAACTCATACTCGAATTCATGTTCATCTTCGTATACATTTGCATTTTCATATTATTTCTCATCTGCATTTTCATATTCTTATTATAATGTCATAACTCACGACAGATATTTATCTGCGATTTAGTGCACGCACACTGTGACGTCTTTTCCAACACTTAATTGTAGTGCTTAAAATGTTATCATGGACTTATATGCAGCTATGTTTGTCAGTCGACTGTCAGCCTAACAGATTCTTGGCCCAGCCATTGGATGGATGTGTTTAATTAAATTGTGATTATATTCATGAATGCTCGCAGCTTATGGCTTTTACAAATTGGCCTCTGAAGGTGGCAGTTGGTCACCTTGGTGAAGGAGCTGTGTGGCTGGCTGGCTGGCTGGCTGGCTGGCTGGCTGGCTGGCAGCTAGCAATGTTCTGTGTTGTGGACACGTAAAAACCTTATCACAAATGCGTAGAGTGGGCGGTGCTGCCACAGCCAGCGATAAGCCGTGCACGTCTGCGACATTGTCGCATTTGTCGTCATCAGCTTCTGCTTGGCGGGCGCACACGTACGGCATATAAATAACATTTCGATTTGGCGTATGACAAACCGAGCCAAATGCCACAAATTATGCAGCCAGCTAACACCCTCAATGTTCGCCCCCAGTGCCAAGATTCCCCTTTATCTGGCCACAAAGAAAAAGGCAAACATAAAAGGAATGTAAATCGAGGAACTCGACATTGCGCATACGACGCGTGCACGCCACGCCTCACGCTCCAAAAGCCCCAAAAGCCTTTGCATAGTTTTAAATGCCGTCTAGCATTCGACATTGACTTGAATGGGAAAGAAACTAGAAAGCGACTGGTTGAGCCTTTATGAATTCCAATTGAAGTACACCATTAGTGGCCACAGCTCAGCCAAGGACTATTAACAGTTACCGTAAGCAGCAGCCACTTCGCCTCTCCATAGCTGCCATTCCAAAAATGGCTTCTCATGAACTCTTCAGAAACAAGCTGAGCTCTTTCGAAGCCTCAATGCTGACAAAAGCCCTTAACGAAGCAAATTGTTGCTACTGCACGAACAGCAGAAGCTAGGCAATATCTATATAAATATATATGTGTACATAAGCATATATATGTACCTGGCATTATAAGAGCGGCGCTATTATGCAACAGTATTATAACGTCCCATCCGTATGTATTTGACATTCCAATTTCAATTTAGATTCAATTCTTTCGCATCCAAGTAGGTCTTCATATTTTGTTTGCCTTATGCTGACGACTTGATTTCCCTTAGAACAGTTCAACTCGAGTCGCAGTACTCAAAACAACAAATAAAGCTTAAAAAATTATAAAAAATAATATTCGATTATCCAAAATTCCTAGTCAGATTCCCAATAAGAGTGTAGCTTTTAAAAGTTCAGTGGAAAAAGTCAAAATTTGTTTGCACGCAGATAATATTATAGAGCAATACCTTTGCTGGTAAGCGGAAGTTGCCCTGGCCAACTCGACATTATAGACTAACTCTTCCCCCTAGAATGCTCCAGAAAAACCCTAGAGAACGTACCACGATTTATCGTCGAAACTCCGATCCTAAGTAGTTGCTATGCTTTTCTGGTGTACAAATAGTAACGCATACACAAAAATATATATATACACACACACACATACACAAATATGGTCATACACACCTAGTTTTGTTTCTAGGTAAGTCGAGTGTAGGCTTTAGAAATCTTGTAGAACTTCTCTTTTTAGAATGCTCTGAGAACACCCGATCTTGAAACTCTGATCCAAGCTTGTCATGCGGATGCTGATAATCTAATAACAAAAGAACACGAACACAATTAGTAACCTATTGCAGGTGAGTCGAGATACCTCGTAGATGTCACAAACTATGCTGACTCTCTATTCACAGAATGCTCCAGCATTAAGGACGACAACCGATCCTAGCTGGTTAAAGACATATATATTTTATAAGTAACGATCGAACAGCTCACTGAAGACTACGTTTTAGATCACATGCAAAATATTTTATACATATTTTATAATGATATACATAGTTATATATATGCCATATAATTCCATTTTTATGCTAGGATGGAATTCATATGAGTATATTATATTACTTTTCTTTTTATACATACTTAGGGCCGATGAGCTCAGATGGTGACCGGTAAGTGGACGTCGCTTATAAAGTCTAGAGACCTCCATATAATACCCGTATACCCTTGCAGATCGGACTAGGCATATAAGGCGTACATGGAATACAAATTTCATACAGATCAAATAGTTCTACAAACAGAGAACACTTCGTCGACTGCTCTGATGGCAGGATGCGATCTAGTTAATATATATAAATATATATAATATATATATATATGTGAACGTGTATATGCTCATATATATATATATATATATATAATATATAAAATATATTTTAGACATTTTATATACTTCAATTCCAAGATGCTGCTCCACACTTTAGTCGTTTCTTCAATACACTATTGCTGGCTATTGAAACTTGTTTTGTGCTTTATTGGATTGAGACTAATTAGATGTTGCTTGCATGCACAACACTCTGGGAAGGCACGAAAGCGAAAGGCAAATTCCTATTGGATGTCAACAACTTGGCCTGACCTTCATTACTGTCGCATTACACAGGGAAATGAACAATGAGTCGTCTATTGGCTATACTCGGCTGCGGACTTCAGAACATTAGGTAGGAGGGGCAGAGGAAGAAGCTAGCGGAACGGAACGGAAAGAAACGAAAACGGAAAAACTAAAATAACTGTCACTAAATAAGCCAATGCGCCTTAATGGAAATGTCAATCGCAAGATAATGTTTTATTGTCCCATTGAAATGATTTCAGTTTGCATTGTTATCGAAGATATTCAATACAATATGGCTGTGACTGTGACTGTCTAGTCGGATTCGTAATGGACTCCGAGAGTCTAATACAAAAGCAGTTTTCATCTCGTATTTATAATTTTGTACAGCATACTGTGTGGAGCCTCTATCAATCAAGAGCTTAATCCGCAGACGCACAAGCTTCACTTACAGGGTATTGAGCAGTAGTTGGTACTCAAAACTATGATTATGATGCTGAAACAATGTTAAATGAACCTTGATGAGCACTTTCCAAAAGAATAATGCCACGAAGTGCAGTGCTGTACTAACTGCATGCTAAAGTCACTGCCAGCGGTAGGGGCATGGGCATGGGCATGGGCATGGGCAAGGGTTGGGGTAGCATGTAATAGGTATTAAAGGGTGGGCGAGGCGGGGTAGCTACGAGCTGGATGACATTCCATTACCTCGACAGGGACAAGCTCGTAGTGGCTTACTTGGGGCAGTGCTCTGGGCGGGATCGGGCATCGGAGAGCCGGCTGCAAACAGCTGCCGGCACAGTAGCTATCAACTATAGTCGAGGAAATTACTTTTAACATTTCGAATGCTGGCTGCCAGTTGGTGCAGAGAGCAGGCCGGAGACGCCAGCCGGCAGCCGACTTCAAAGTATATATATTTATGTATATATGCTTAAAAAAGTAGAGGACGAAGAAGAAAAGAGAGCAGTCTAGAGCGGAGCGGGGCAGGACGGGGCGGGGCGGTAAACGGAGCAAAGTGAAGCAAATGAAAAACAGGAAAATTATTTGATTTTTATGCATTTCACTTAAACAGCAAAAAAGGGCAGTCGGGCCAAGGGCGGTGGGACGCTTGGTGCTGGGACGACAGCATGGATGAGTAGAAGCTGAGCTGGAGTCGCAACTGGATTTGAAATCGGAATCGGGATCGAAGTTGGAGACAGGGCGCCGTGCTGTCTGGCAACTTGCTTGCATTATAGATGAAGTTCCGTGCGAGAAATAAAGCAAATAAATGCAATCAGGAATAATAATTCGAGCAGCAGTCAAATAACTTGATTTCCCAGCGCCTGCGACGCATTAATAACATTTACAGCGTTAAGTCCCAACACTGTCAGGCCGTAAGCCCCGTTAAAATAGCAGGCGAAAGCGTAAGAAGTCCACGAATGCCTTGTCAAGAGCTCAAGCGCGCTGCTGTCGTAAATAAAGCCAAAGCCTATCTTGAACGCCCCGAAAATTGCACAACACTGGCTAAATATGGAATCAACATGAAATGCTCCACACTAAACATACCCTGTAAATAGTAACTGTAGCTTGAGTGAACTAAAATGTGTGAACCGAGCTGGAACTGAATTAAATTGAAAAAAAATATAAGAAATAATTTAAAGTTTTCAGTTGCCTAAATAAAAAGCTGTTGATGTATATTCTTTCAGATCTTAAATTGTATTATAAAAAATTATACGAGCGAAAAGCTTTCAGCATGCTTAGCTTCAATACGCAACTCAAAGTTGCTGAAAGCTTTAATGAGCTTTGAAGAAACTTAACTTGTTCTATTCAAGAGTTCGAGAAGCTATGGGATATACTTTCAATTTATGTTAAATAAACTGGATCAATACAATAAATCGATCTGAAAGCTTTAATGTGCTTAGAAAGCTTTGATAAGTAAGCCACCAAACTATAAATTACTATAAAATGTACTTCGCTGACTTAATTCCCTTTAATGTGCTTTAATTTATAAATTGACTCAATTCCCTAAGTCGCACTGAGAGCTTTAATGTGCTTTAAAGCTCTGCCGACAATGAAATCTCATAAATTTGTATGAATTGGACTTCAGTTAGTCTATGCAAGAAGTTCCACTCCAAGCTTTATTAACATTTAGTGAAAGTTCAATGGGATCAGTTTCACAAATTTAAGCCGAATGCTGAACTTGAACTGTGACTGCTGTCACTCTCAATGATGAATAAATTAAATGATAGCTCACATTTGGTAATCCTTTATTTACAATAAGTTAAAACGTATAGCTGCCCTGTGGGCATAGGGTATTGAATCGCAAAAACTTGTTGGCTTATGCCGCAGGCCAATAGATTCCAGTTCATGTTGCATGCCCAGCCCAGCCACCGGGTGTTCCGTGCCAACATCAGTCGCCGGCTGGCAAAACTTAATTATGCATGGTTAACACGAAAACTCAATAAATTTTCAAATAAATTCACAGGAAAACCTCCATGTGTGTGTGTGTGAGTGTGTGTGTGTGTGTGTATTGGTGTGCGGTCTATGTAAATTTTATTTGCTAAAGGATTTTTCATGAAGTTTCCTGCCGCCGCCGCTGCTGCTGCTGCTGCTGCTGGTGTTGCATTTAGATTTATTTGCGACGTGTGTGTTATGTAAAACCTATTAGAGCGCCACCCAAGTCCAGGCAGTTGCCCAAGCACAGCTCCAGGCACAGGCTCAAGGCCCAGCTCCGGCCCCGTCCCCGTACCCGTCCCTGCCTCTGCCTCTGCCTCTGCCCCAGTTTCAGCTCCAGGTCCAGGCAACAGGCTCAGCTCAGCTCAACTCACGTGTGCTACTGCCGGCCATTCAATTTCGCCCGGGGCGCTCAACTGTTGCACAAGAGCTGCCGCAGGCGCGGTCAGACGGACGGAGCGAGGCTAGAGTCGAAGGCACAGCCTGGCGCTCGACCAGGCAATAGCCGTAGCTCCAGGCACCTGGCAACTAATCGCCTGTTGAAATGGCTCACACAGCCGCCAAAGTAAGGCAAATTTATTGAGTTCTCATATTGAGCAACGTTATAAGAATAATGCAGCAAACAAAGCCGACCACCCACGACAACAGCAACCAAATAAAACTGAGCTAAGTAATGGCAGCTGGAGCTGGGGTTGGAGCTGGGTGTTGAAGCTTTAGTGCGCTACACTTGCCTTGATGGGCTGTGTTGCATAAGTCAAGCAAATAAACGATTGAACTTGAACTGTTCATATGAACCAGATACATGAGTCAACTAAGCTTTTCATAAGAAATCGTTTTACGAGTTAGCCATAAAGTTATTCTGTGCCAATTTAACAGTTAAGTCAAATAGTTCATATGAACCAGTTTAATAGATCATTGGAAGCAGTTACGTAAATAAGCTTAAACCATGAGCCAGCTTACTAGTTCATATGAAACCACTCTACAAGTAAGTTGGCGAGCATTATGAATCCGAAACGCAACTCACTTAAACAGCTCATATGAACCAGTTTGATTAGTCAGTAAACCAGCTCTTAAATGCCAAGACTCAAAAGTCAGCTGAACAGCGTCTGTAAGCCAGGCACACAAATCAGCTCAACAGTTCATATGAACAAGTTTCATGAACCTCTTTAGCAGCTCATATGAACTAGTTGCAAAAACAGTTCATTTAAGCGAGATGAACAAGCCTATTAAACTAATTGAGTTAGTTCATATGAACCAGCTTCGCAAACTAGCTGAGTTAGTTCATATGAACCAGCTTCGCAAAGTAGCTGAGTTCATATGAACCAGCTTTGCAAACTAGTTGAGTTAGTTCACATGAACAATAATTACACCAATTTAAAAGTAAAGTTATTTGTTGTTCATTCAAATTTATGTAAAATACCTACAAGAACTAGTTTTCGGAACTAGTTCGTTCCCGAAGTAACCACAAAAATCTCCAATCAAAATATTCTAGGTGATATGAAGGTCGTTGTGGGCTACTGGATGCGCTATCAGCACAAACTACTGCAAAAGGCACACCCACACACGCACACACGGATAGCTAGGGGAGTTGTAAGACTCGAAATACTTTGCAAAAAGTAGCAGTAGCAAAAAGTGAAATGAAGCCGAAAAGCAAATAGAGCATAAATTACGCAAATCCAACACGACACTTTACAGCGTTGACTGCGACGCCAGCTGCAGCAGCAGCAACTGGGGCTGAGGCTGAGGCAGAGGCAGAGCCAGAAGCAGAGACAGAAGCAGCGACAGGACGTCGCGACAATCCTGCCGGACACCTCAAGCGCATGTGTGAGTGTGTGTGTGTGTGTGTGTGCGTGAGAGCTTAAACACACACTCGTACAGTGGGAGTCACAGAGACAACAAATAAGTTAAGTCAAAGTCAGAAAGGCAGACAAACATTGCGTGCGAACGAGATGGGGGAGGCAAACATAATGTCATGACATCTCTGTCGCACGCGGGCAGTGGCCAGTGCAGTGCAGTGTGTGCAGTGCAGTGCAGTAAAAGTGTAGCATGCAATCAGGCGCCAAATGCTCAAGTGTCTCATTGTCAGCATGTTGCATGCAACACGCCGTCGACTGCACCATCGGGGCACTGGCAAAATAAAGTAAAATGAACAGCAGCAGCAGCAGCAGCGGCAGCAAAAATGTTAAAGCAAGTAAATAAACATTGTGTGCCATTATCAGGCACAGCCAGCAACAACAATCACAACAGCAACAGCAACAGCAACACCAACACCAGCAACAACGACAACAACAACAACGACAACAATCAGCACACCAGGCAACATAATTTGCAGTTGCAACTGAGAACTTTTCAATGGCTTGAAGCTGAAAAAGCTGACAACCCAGAGAGGGCACAAATAATGCCGCACAGTGGACTAAAACTGTTTGCATTTTGTCCAATATGTTTTTAATGTTTTAAAATATATCTAATCTCTGAATGAAATTTATTTGTATTTTGAAAGCTGGTCGAATGAATGCCTATATCAATTACTTCTTTAATATTATGGCCATCTTAAAGTCTTCTAATTTGAACTTTAGGCTAAGAGACCTTTAGGCACTGTGCGATGTTGGCTGCAGCCGGTAACGGCAATGTCCAATGCCTGGCACATAGCCCGGATATGCCGGCGTACCCGATACTGTTCGTGTGTGTGAATATGTGGCTAGTGAGTGTGAATAGGTGTATGTGTGTGTCTGAGTGTGAGTGAATGTCTGTGTGTGTGCAACGGCATGGTTGAACAGTCAATGGCGGTGCAGCCGAAAGGCCGGAAGTGCAGCCGAGCAACAGCAATGCAAGCGTGCCGTGTGTGATTGGGTGTGTGTGTGTGGTGTGTGGTGTGTATATGTGTATATGTGTGTGTGTGTGTGTGTGTGTTTGTGAATCGGCTAAACAAAAAACACAGCAAGCAACGAGCTCTGGCAAAAAAAACACAAGTTGACATAAAAATTGTACAAACTGAAAATGATTTGTGGGGTCCAGAGTCACCTACAACCAGGCAAGACTTTTTTTTAGAAACACACACAGGCACACACATACACACGCTATCGCTCATAGCAAATCAAATAAATCGCCTGCATTGACGCTTGAACGATTAGGAGACGAAATGACACATGGGACAGCAATTCTCATTTTTGTTGCATCTCCCTGTGCCTCAATCGCTCAATCGTTTCTGCTCGTTGTGTGACATAGTTTTCGGTTCAGTGACCTCTCGCGGCAGCTGCAACTGATGCAATTTTATTGAAATGATTCTGTGTTTTTCTGCAGCGCCTAGAAAAAACATCCAGCTAATTGAAAGCAATGCAAAAACCTGCCAAAAAATCAATTTAATATGAAAATGCATTTCCCATCAATGGCAATTGCTTTATCTTTGAAATCAATTTACGCAAATTAAAACTAAGGTCAATTTGCTGGCACGCAAAACAAATTTCAATTCGGTTGAAATTCTCCAAATGTGGGTCAAATGAGTTCCTGAAAGCTTGGAAAAATGAATAAGCCTAACTCTCCATGTCATATGAAGCCTCCAGTATGTTTAAAGTAATACTAATACTAATACTAATACTAATACTAATACTAATACTAATACTAATACTAATACTAATACTAATACTAATACTAATACTAATACTAATACTAATACTAATACTAATACTAATACTAATACTAATACTAATACTAATACTAATACTAATACTAATACTAATACTAATACTAATACTAATACTAATACTAATACTAATACTAATACTAATACTAATACTAATACTAATACTAATACTAATACTAATACTAATACTAATACTAATACTAATACTAATACTAATACTAATACTAATACTAATACTAATACTAATACTAATACTAATACTAATACTAATACTAATACTAATACTAATACTAATACTAATACTATACTAATACTAATACTAATACTAATACTAATACTAATACTAATACTAATACTAATACTAATACTAATACTAATACTAATACTAATACTAATAATAATACTAATACTAATACAAATACTAATACTAATACTAATACTAATACTAATACTAATACTAATACTAATACTAATACTAATACTAATACTAATACTAATACTAATACTAATACTAATACTAATACTAATACTAATACTAATACTAATACTAAAACTAATACTAATACTAATACTAATACTAATACTAATACTAATACTAATACTAATACTAATACTAATACTAATACTAATACTAATAATAATACTAATACTAATACTAATACTAATACTAATACTAATACTAATACTAATACTAATACTAATCTAATACTAATACTAATACTAATACTAATACTAATACTAATACTAATACTAATACTAATACTAATACTAATACTAATACTAATACTAATACTAATACTAATACTAATACTAATACTAATACTAATACTAATACTAAAACTAATACTAATACTAATACTAATACTAATACTAATACTAATACTAATACTAATACTAATACTAATACTAATACTAATACTAATAATAATACTAATACTAATACTAATACTAATACTAATACTAATACTAATAATAATACTAATACTAATACTAATACTAATACTAATACTAATACTAATACTAATACTAATACTAATACTAATACTAATACTAATACTAATACTAATACTAATACTAATACTAATACTAATACTAATACTAATACTAATACTAATACTAATACTAAAACTAATACTAATACTAATACTAATACTAATACTAATACTAATACTAATACTAATACTAATACTAATACTAAAACTAAAACTAATACTAATACTAATACTAATACTAATAATAATACTAATACTAATACAAATACTAATACAAATACTAATAAACTAATACTAATCTAATACATACTAATACTATACTAATACTAATACTAATACTAATCTAATACGAATACTAATACTAATACTAATACTAATACTAATACTAATACTAATACTAATACTAATACTAATAACTAATACTATACTAATACTAATACAATACTAATATAATAACTAATACTAATACGAATACTATACTAATAATATACTAATATAACTAATACTAATACTAATACTAATACTTAATACTAATACTAATACTAATACATACTAATAACTAAATACTAATACTAATACTAAATACTAATACTAGACTAATACTAATACTAATACTAATACTAATACTAATACTAATACTAATACTAATAATACTAATACTAATACTAATACTAATACTAATACTACTAATACTAATACTAATACTAATACTAATACTAATACTAATACTAATACTAATACTAATACTAATACTAATACTAATACTAATACTAATACTAATACTAATACTAATACTAATACTAATACTAATACTAATACTAATACTAATACTAATACTAATACTAATACTAATACTAATACTAATACCAATACTTATACTAATACTTATACTAATACTTATACTAATACTTATACTAATAATTATACTTATACTAATATTAATACTAATACTAATTTATATAGATTAGCTGAATCGAATCAAACTTCTGCTTTCAAGGCCAATAAACTTCAACATGCGCTGCATTAAGGTTAATGGGGCAGCACAACTTGGCCAAATTGTTTGAGGAGTTTTGGAAACAGGCCCCCAGCCCGGCAGTTTGTTGACGCTATTCTCGGCCCCATATGAAGGGGCATTCGCGTGGCCTCGCCTGACTTGGCTGGCCGCCTAATTAGGAGCAAGTCAAAGTCACGTGAAATGTTGCCATCGATTATGATGAGGTCACACTGTTGCTGCTCTAATGCCAAGCACTTTGGCCTAATGCATAGAGGACTGTCCAGATTCGTAGGCTCCATCGAGCATGTTGTGAGCCAGTCTGCAGTGTGCTTAAAGACTCGCAACTCGCAGCTCGCAACAGCGGCACAAATTGTTCATGTTGGCAGACAGCAGCTGCATAGGCCGTAGTCCATGGCGGCCGACGCTTTTGGTCACTGTAATTAATACCAACATAATTATATTTGGATAACACAAGCGTAATCAAGATTAATTGAGTAACAGCAGGTAGTTTGCATAATTAGAGCTCGGTTGCCAGACCAGATAGCTCTCGATGCTCAGCCCTGTGGCAATGTTCATCGTTCATTGTTCATCGCTCATCGTCCAGCAGCAGCAGCAGCAGCAACATTTCCATCAACTGGCCAATGGAAGCAGCGTTGACTGTTCACTGTCGTCACTCCATGGCCAAAAAACATAATTTACAATTTCAAGTGCGCCTCTCACTCTAACACACTCTATCACACTCCCTCTCTCACTCTTACTCGCACTCTCACTCTCACTCTCACTCCCTCTCTCTCTGTCTCTTTTTGTTTCGCTACGTCGCCAGCTATCAGTATGCTTTGAGTTTTGGCTTTGTGCTTTGGGCAACAGCATGGGCATCAAGTCAACTCCATCATCGTCTTGCTCAACTTCATTTGATTACAATTGTTCCTGCTGTTCCTCTTGTTACTGTTGTCCCTCCTGTTTCTGTTGTTCCCATTGCTGTGACTAGTATTGTATTTGTTGTTCTACCTCCTGTTGCCGGGACAATGGAGCGTTTGGTTGCAGCTGCAGCCACAGCTTAATAAGAACGTCCAGAACTAATGACCATTGTCCTGGCCTACGACCTAATGGACTCCATCGCCTGCATGTATGTACTTACTTAACCAGCCATACAAAGTTGCACATTGTTGTGCAGTGCTTCGCCTTTCAAGTGCTCGAATAGATTTCTCTCCTTTTTGGGTCTCAGGCCATTTGCAATTTGTTGCGAAAATGTTTATCTAAATTGAGTTTCAATAGAAACGTAAGCCCGAATTGAATGGCTTATAAGCGTCTGATTCGGGGGCAGGTTTCAAAGCCTTCTTAATTATCGATATCATGAAAGATTACCGATAACATTGTCGACGGTATGATGTAATCATTCCATGCTTAGATCATTGATTAATATAAACACATCTTTACACTCTACTTTCTGAGGGTTTCTAAGGCACTATCATAACTCATATACACATTTCTCTTATTATCGATAACTCATGAAGTCAACTCTACTCATAGTTTTATTGGAATTCGAAAGTAAATTAATTTATTTTTCTAACTTCATTTAATAAACGACAAGCTGAGATTCCCTTTACATTTATGTTTGATAGTACCTGTTGTCAGATGGAGGTATATAGAGCTGCCCCGGCAAAATCTTTTCCGGCAGCTGCTCCTGCACCGGAGTGCGTCCGTACATTTCTAGTTGATAGCAGAAGAAGTCGTACACATAGAGCTCCTCGGGCGCGACATAGTGAAAGGCGACCGGATAGTCCGAGAGGCAGTTCATGCACTGTAGATATCAAAATCGTAAAAGAACTCGAGTAATATCTGTGAGTGGACTTACGGCCCGGGGATTGTAGTAGGCGTACTTGAAGAGCCAAAAGTCCAAGCCGTTATACTTAGACATAAGTAAGGAATATGGCGCCATGGGAAAAAAGCGATTACGCAGCATTAAGTCGCGCGAATCGCCGGCGCGTACGCCCAGATTATAAAGACATAAACCCATCTCCACGTCCTCCGCATGATCGTCCTCCTGCCGGCACTTGCTGCTATCATTCATGCCGTGCACAAACAAACGCAGCGCCTCCCGACTTAGCACATAGCCGCTGCCTCCAGACATGTACGACTGACCAAGCCAACAGCAGACGAAGTCAATATTAATATGAAAACTATAGAATGAAATACATCTTTGAAGCACTTACTGCATTTCCAAATGGATTGTGGAACAGCTTGTAGTTGTATCCGAAGTGTAGAGGCATATCTGGAGAGTAAGGGTATAGCATGTGGCGTAGATTTTCCACAAATACATAACTGAAGCAGAATGAGAATCGAGAAGAAAGGCCATATATAAGACAGGAAAGTAACGTGAAAGGAGGCAAGAAAAGTTAGTGAAACTGAGAAAGAGAGACATGGGGAAACAGCGATAGGCAATGAAAAAAAACACAGAGATTCACAGTTAAGAATGAGAGAGAAAACTGAAGAATAGAGAAGAGATTGAGTCTGAGACGAGGCACTGAAATTGAAGTTCTGATCATTGTAAGAGCTACGGCAATATGCGAATATTTATGTCAGCCTTATCAAGTTTCCTGTTTCCTAGTTGAACTGGTTCACTTACTGAACTGACTTACTAGTTGAACTGGCTCACTAGTTGAACTGATTCACAAGTTAAGCTGATGCAATTGCTGAACAGGTTCACTCGTTGAACTGATTCACTAGTTGAGCTGACTCGCTCACTGAACTAATTCAGGTATTGAACTGGTTCACTTGATGCACTGGTTCACTTGTTGCAATGGCTGACTAGTTACTGGCTTACTAGCTAAACTGATTCACTAGCTGAACTGGTTCACCTGCTGTACTAGATCACTAGTTGTGCTGGTTCACTAGTTGAACTGATTCACAAGTTAAGCTCGTGTAAATGCTTAACTGGTTCACTCGTTGAACTGACTCATAAGATAAATTATTTTGAACTGGTACATTTCTTGAACTGGTTCACTAGGTGAGCTGACTCACTCACTGAACTAATTCACTAGCTGAACTAGTTAATTTTCTGATTCACTAGTTAAATCGTTGCTAAGCTAGTTCACTTGTCAAGCTAGTTCACAAGTTGAGCTGACTACCTAACTGAACGGATTCACTAGTTGAACTGGTTCTATAGTTGCACCGGTTCACTAAATGATATAGCTAGATTCACTTTAGAAATGCTTATTTCGAATCAGTCGTCAGCTTATTAAATTTTTGTTCATCTCCAGAACTAGTTCACTGGATTCAGACTAGCTCACGTACGTATCATCGTCGGCCTTCATAAACCAATCCGCCTCGTGCCGCTTGTTCTCGTAGAGGTAGGTGAAGGCCTCCTTTGTCTTGCCCCACAGCACGTCGTATGAGTCCGGCTTGGTCAGCACGATGGTGTCGAGCTCATCGTCTGATTCCGAGGTTATGAAATAGATCTTGTTGCAACGCTTGCCCCACGTACGCAGTATGTGCACCGCTCGCGTCTTGTGGTACTTGGGTGTGGTCATCACCCAGCAGAGCACGCGCACCTCTCGCTCCAGCCTCGTGGCCAGCGGCTGTCGCGAGTTCGAAGTGTCCAGATCACGCCTAGCACTCAGCGTCGTCAGCATCATGACGTCCCAGTAGGCGTAAAGCGTGATCAATGCCACGCTGCAGATCAGTCCAAAGGCCAGCAGATGACGTCGAGACAGCCGATAGAGTGTGGGCTGATTGCCCATGAGAAACACATGCAACTCATCGCGTTTCTTGGGCGTGGAGCCAACTACTTGCACCAGCTGCTCGTGCTGCAGCTGCTCCAGTGTGATCTTGTGCTCAGACATGTTGGCACTGGCTGTGGCCCCGTTGCCGTTGATAGAGATAGCGCGCTGCCCCCTGAAGTGGCATCTTATCTCGCAACAACTGTGCCGTGCTCGACACTTGGCTAATGGATATTGGACCAGGGCTGCTCAACGTGTCACATTCAACCCAAGAAATAAGATAAACAATAGGTTACTCCAAGACCTTTACTATAAAGTGCCATTCAAACTGCCTTGGCTATAACTATAGACTATTTGGCCTTGTGAATGGAGCAAACGCCTATCAAACTGTGAAAGATATGAACTTAGCAAAAGATAGTGAACGTTAACCTAGGTCTATTTATGGAATTCCAAGAATTCCAAGAAAATCTTTCTAAGTGACATTTCACATGATGATTTATAAGAATACGCCACGGCATGAGCAAAAATTTCCGCATGAAATTCAAATTATGCTCGAATAAGCTTTCATAAAATTAAATTAGAAAATTTATGATATAAAATTTATTTTTTAGTTCACTCAATGTTAACTCGAAAATTGAGCTCAATCAAAAGGCTAACATACTTGGCAACAAATGAAGCACAGAAGCACAATAAATATTTGACTTTTAATCAATTAGTTCAGATATTAAGAATTCGAAGAAGAAAACCTTTCTAAGTGACATTTCACATGATGATTTATAAGAATACGCCACGGCATGAGCAAAAATTTCCGCATGAAATTCAAATTCTGCTCGAATAAGCTTTCATAAAATTAAATTAGAAAATTATTGATATAAAATTTATTTTTTAGTTCACTCAATGTTAACTCGAAAATTGAGCTCAATCAAAAGGCTAACATACTTGGCAACAAATGATGCACAGAAGCACAATAAATATTTGACTTTTAATCAATTAGTTCTGATATTAAGAATACACCAGCAGATACGTAAAGATTCTTGCTTGAAATGCAGAAAGGCAGAACTAAAAGCGAGCCACAAATTTAAGCAAAATTTCTCAATCATTTTAGCCATATAATAATTCGTACAAAGTTTTCACAGCAAATATTTATTTAATAGGAAAAACAGAGCTGGAGTAGAGCAGAGACAGGTTATTGCCCTGGCAAGCAGCATATGCTAATCCTGTCCGGCAGCTGGCGCTGGGACTCCTGTTGACATTTGCCATGCAAACCACTCGACAATCGTAGAAATTTGTTTAAGTTTAAAGGCTGCGACAATTTATCAAAACGCCAAGGGCCACTGCGATGGCACTAACTATAGCCATGGCTATATGGCCATGGCAGCGCCCAAAAACAAAGGACAAACATACCGAAACAGTTGAGAGAATCTTTCAATTAATCATGAGCGACATGTGGTCCGCTCTTTCTTGCTCTCCCCCCGCCTCACTCTCTGTTCCCAGCTGGTCAGACCGCCGAGCGCGAGAATAATTATACGAGCGTGCATAGCGCATACGCCCCATAGGCCAACCCTCTCAGGGGCACCAAGTTAGCTGAGCTGGCTAGCTGGCTAGCTGGCTAGCTAGCTCCCGTTTTCGGCACTGCTCGATGCCCGATGGTCGATGGCCGCTCTGGTTGGCAAACAAATAGCTGCCATAATAGCTAGCAGGCGGCGTCCAGGGCGCACAAACACATATCCTGCCAGTGGCCCTGCCGCCGGCTCCAGCGTTGGCCAAACAAATTCGCATTAATAAAATAAAATTCACTAAAAATAAATATAGCCACACACACACACACACCCTGGCACACACATAGGGTGTAAAACTATTTGGCATTGTGGGCGTGGCAGCTGGGCTGTCTTCCGGCACGCAGTGATTGTAGCAGTTGGTCGTCTGCTGTACAAAGAGAAGCTAATAAAAATGTTATTTTACTCGTTTATTCTTTCGTTTTAGCTTCTCCCACATACCCTGTAGCCGTGACATGAATAAGGCGGAACAGCACACAGCGTAAGTCTAGTGCAGTCTGCCGTAACTATATATATATATATATATTGAGGACTCGCAAGGGCATTCAGAAATCAATTTCAATTGGAGTCTTCTATCAACTTCTCTATTAGATATCATTGCTGCTTTACAGGGTATCTGCATGTCAGACACTCGCCACATTTTCATTTGTTTTAGTTGAAAATAAATTTGGCCAGCGCACAAACTAAACGAATGCAAACAAACGGGGTCACGGCAGAGGGCTGATAGCAAAGTTGCCCGATAGAGAATATCGTGAGATATATTTGGGCCGCATCAAATGTAGAATCTAAAGCACTTTCCAGTTCCATTGCCACATCCAACTACGAATTCCCTCTTTTATATATAAATATTGAGACATTTCAATTCACTTCCAGCTCATCGATCTCAGCCAGAAAGCCAGACTCAGCTGCTGGCTTCTGTTTACAGTGTATCTTTACTAGTTGCATCAGCTTTTTTCATTTTAATTAAATATTATTCCTCTTCTCCCTCTTCTTCTGCTTCTTCTTCTTCTGTCTGAATACCCTGATCACTTGCTGCTTTTCTCTTTGTCTCAGTTGCCATAGTAAGCTCTGCTTCTTCAATATCGTCTGCATTCCATGTATTCTAAAACACCATCAAACAACTTTTAATAACTGGCCTTAGTTCGGCGGCATTGTTTAGGTGCCTTTTGTGCCACCTGCTTGCCTGCTGCTCCCAGCTCTCCCAACTGCAGCGGAGACCCCAACTGGACAACTGCATTGGAAATTCATAAAAATAAACCAGAGTCAAATGTATACGAGCAGATTTTTTGCAATAATGTTAGCTTTTGGATTTTACAAGCGGCATTTGCTTTTCTCCCTGCCACTGACCCCCCCTCCCCTCCCTTTCGCTCTCTCTTTCAACCTCCACTCAGCTATTGTTCTGGCACTACGAATGCAATAACTGCCATTAGTGATGAGATGAGCCGAGACGAATGAATATCTGGATATCTACAAATAAATTTTAATAAATTATTAACTAAATTAATTTAACCAAAATTAAATGCAAATTAGTAATAAAATGTGTAGGAACTATATAGTAAATACTTTAATAATTAACTATAAAAATCTCAATATTTTCAGAAAACAATTTTTGTTATATTCCATAACTGTAACAATTTATTGTTTAAATTATTAATTTTGTTAGTATTCGAAATATATTTGATTTGGTTTTTGTTTTCAATAAAATAACAATTATATAAAAATTAATCAGAAATAAATATATTAAAAAGCAAACTGTAGATAAACTATCTAGAAGTCTTAAGTGTTTAAGAATTTAAACCAATTTATCAAAGAAGTTAAAGTTGATTTAATTTATTTAGTTTATTTATTCTGTGCCACAGGCCAAAAATGAAAGCTGAAAGGAAATATATGAACCCGCTTTGTGAAGTATTCATTTTGTATTCGAACATTCAAAAATTATTGTAATAAAATCGATAAACATGAAAAGATTCCAATTTATGGCAAATTTGTTCAAACAAGAATTTTGCTAAATAAATTAAAGAGCTCTAGGAACATTTTAGTTCAACTAGCGCTTTAACTGGTTGAGAATTATATAGAATTACCAAAGCTTTTATATAGTTAAACTTAATTTGCTTAAGGGGTTGCTTGAGGTATTTCCAATCTTTATTTGGCGTCAATTAAGTCACGATGTTTACACATCTCTAGCAGACGCATACCCACACTTACACACACACACACACACACACACACACACACATTCAGTGAGACATCAAACGTGCAAACATTTGCCATATTTTTGTAATCAAAGTAAACAATCCATTTAACCAAACAGAGCACACACACACACAAACAAAGAGAGGGCAGAGTGATGAGAGAGGTAGAGCGACATACACACACCCACACCTACACACACACACACACAGCACAGCACAGCGACTGGCAGCTGTTGCTGTCCATACGTGGCATCTTTGGCAATTTGACTTCATTTTCGATTTGGCCCGCGACCATGAAGCGCCCTCTGGCGGCCAACAACTTGGCCAGGACACACGTCGATTTCATTTTTATATTTCTTTTTTACCTTTTTTCTTGTCACTTGGCCAGCAACATGACGGTGGCCACAGTCAGTCATAATAACAACGGCAATTGCGTTAAGGTGGGGCGCCATCGCGTCACGTGACGTCTTTGATGCAAACAGCATTTGAATTTGAAATGAAAACCAGCTAAGGGCTACGTTGCAGCTTGCAAGGGGTCCGACAACAGACAACAGACAACAGACATCGCAGACAGAGGCAGAGTTACAGACAGAGACAGACAGACACTCAGCCACACAGCTATGGCCAGCTGCCAGTGTGTCCAAACTTCAGTTACTGCGCTGCGGTGTTGCATACTTTGCAGCGCCTTACGGGAAATTTAGCACTGATATGACAACACTCCATGGCATCTGTGTCCATTGGCATTTTGTTTGTAAACATTCTACACCAGCTGCTGTGGGTGTGTGTGTGTGTGTAGATAGTTTTTACTGTCGGCACAGCCACAAGCCCAAACGCAGCCAAATGACAATAAAAGCAAAGCGCCAACTTTATTATTACGTTTTTATTACGCCAACACACACACACACACACACACAGCATTTCTTTGCATAGATTTTACATAACGACACACCTGTTCACTGCTCTCAGCAGTCGGGGCAGTTGCAGACCGGCCCACACTCTGGCAGATCAGCCTCCATGCAAGTTGGCCGAATTCCAAGGTGTTCATATATATGTATATATATATATGTATATGTATGGCTGTGTGAGTGCCACGCTGTAGGGGGGAGCTGCTACGATGTGGGACTTTGGCAGGAAATTGAATTGGATAATAAGACAAAAGAGCGCAGTTCATGCAAGCAGAACAAAAGCGAAAGCATTTTCCAAAGAATTTAATTAAATTGTCATTTTTGGATAAACCTTAACACAAAGAAGTAAGTGATGTAGCTCACGAATAGCCGAGACGCTGACAGCCAGCTGAGACATTCAAGTTTTCTTCCATCAGTCTGCTTCTCGCTCGACCCTCTGAGCCTTCTAAGTAAACAAAATGGAATCCGCT